AAATAGTGTAAAGTGAGACTTTCCATAACAGCATTCATTATGAATTAGGAGGTTTCTGTTCCTAGCGCAGTAATAATCATTTTTAAAATGATAATTTTTATTTTAATCAATATTAAATATTTTTTTAGAATTTCAATTTACTGGTTTAAAATTAAAATAAATTATTTGGCATTTGATTTATTTATTTCCAGTTTAAGTTTCTATTGATTTAATTAAATTTCAATAAAAACGTAATTTGAATTTTCTTAAAATAATATTTATATTAAAACTAGTGACTATATTTATTTTAATATCTGAATATATAAATTAATTAAATGTAGTTTTTGTTTTCTTTATATAGAATATATTAAACTGATAAATATTAATTAATTAACTAGTCTAATAAGTTAACGATCAGACACTTAACTTAGCTATTTTATCTCAACAAAATGTGAAGAAATTGAGGATATAAAAATTTAAATTAACCGTTCCTTTACATGTTTTAACAAGTTTTGGTTAAACACTTAGATATTTACAAATTTTGACTTGATGAATAATATTTTAATTTTTAAGACACATTTCTAATTAATTTGAATATATATATATATATATATTTCTGTAAATTCTCTATATTTTCTCTTATGTAAATATTGATATATTTGTAAGTATTATTAGTTTACATTTATTAATGTTAATGATATTATATGAGCTATTATTATATTTTAGAATATTTAGCAAAAATATAAATTTACATAAATGTAATTGTTACGTTTATGTCACAATTAATTTTACACATATTATATTTTTAGAAGTGATTTATATTTCATCTTTATTTGTAAGAATAACTGTGGTGATAACAAGTAAGCAATTTTTGCTTAATGATTTCACAAATAATGATTAGGAAACACTCAATTACAGTTTTAGGAAAACATTTATTATGGATAGCCGATATGACAGCATGTGTAAGGATTAGGCTATTATCCATATATCGATTAACTATCAATGTTTAACAAACAACATAAACACTATTCAGTTGACAAAAAAAAAAAAAACATAAACACCATTCAGTAGACAAAAAAATGACATTTAAATTTGTACATAATATAATTTAAATTTGCACACTTCCTCCATTTTTTAAATAAATGACATTTAAATTTGTACATCATATAATTTTTTTCAATATTGGTGTATTTTCAAAATAAAACATCATTAATTATTTATCTAACAACAAAACCAATAAAAATAGAAGGCATAATATAAAAATCATAATATAAAATGTTAATAAATTTTACATTAAATTGAAATTAAAAAAAATCATAATCTTTAAACTAAAAATTATTTAAGGTGTCATCTATTTAAAAACGGAAAAAGTATTAACATTATTAAGAGACTTTACACATATTAAATATATGATAATTTTACATTAAGACAGGAAAACATAGCATAATTAGAAGAAAATAAAATAAACACGTCTTATTAAAAGCAACGTAACAATCATTAGATCTGTAAATTTTACTACATAAAATTGCAAATTAGACATCAGGATGAAATCTCTAGCAAATCTTATAGAGCAAGATCGAATTTCATTTCTCAAAAAAAAAAAAACTGTATCGTTCATCGTGTGAACTTGTTTTGAATTCCACTAAAGACACATATAATATGACAATATGTTACTAAATGTGTCCGTGTCTTTTTAGATAATGATTAACAAATACGATTTGAATCTAAATGGTTCCAGCTTATATCAAATTAACTAAGCAATATTACAGCAAATAGTGGGACCAAGTACATATGGTGAGACATTTTCTTTTAATGGTCATGGACCTAAATCTACAACAACTTTGGTTGGTTTATATATCAGTACATGTATGCTTATTTTGTCTTTTGCACCATACATATACTATCGGATTCAAATAACTATTATGGTAGAGATAACAGCAGCACCAATATTGTGTTATGTGCTCGGAGATCGGATCAACTGATTATGTATTGATGTTACACAGCAATCTATGCGTATGTGTTTATAGTATGAAGTGATTTGGAAGGTAGTATATATGTTTTGTTTCTTCAAATAAAATATGATGTTATACTGAATGGGTATTAGCTAAGCACACATTTATATAGACGACCAAGACGGTTGATTATATTAAATTGCATGAGCTGGAGTGGATGTTTATTGCCTATTTCACATCAAGACATGTTGCCCACTGTCCTCACAGCTCTATCTAAATGTGCTGTCGTTCACATTTATACCATAGTTTTTTAATTTTAATTATTCGTTACATGAATATGATAAGCTTTATCTGTAAATATCGAAAATGTTCTTAGACAAAAAATGTATAAAAATTATGTTCCAATTTTTTTGTAATGTATTCCAACATTTTTTTCTTTTCTCCTGATAAGTGAAACTTTTTCGATAGACACATTAACATAGTGCAACAAAATTTTGTTATAAGACTTCTTTTTCTTTTTTTTGTTATGTTGACACTTGTAAGCTACTAGATACTCTATCTATTATATATAGACATTACCATATTAGAAACAGATCGCCAAAACCAGTAAATCCTCTTTATCGGTCAACGTGATCAAGTCATCATCGACATGGCTAGATCCCTGTTGCTCTCGCTAACCTTCGCGTTCCTCTTCACCGCGATGGTCTCAGCTCGTGACTGGAACATCCTAAACCAGCTCAAAGGAGGCAAGCCCACCACAACCACCAGCCAAAAGGGCGTGGGATCGTTGAAAGTATCAAACCTAAACGGATACTGCGAGAGCTGGAGAGTCAACGTGGAGCTTAACAACATCAGAGACTTCACGGTGGTGCCGCAGGAGTGCGTCTGGTTCGTCCAAAAGTATATGACGTCATCTCAATACGAGGATGACGTCGAGAGAGCCGTTGATGAAGCCATCCTGTACCTCGGAAAAACTTGTTGCGAGAAGAAGAAATGTGATGGCATGGATGCTTGGATCTTTGACATTGATGACACTCTTCTCTCCACCATTCCTTACCATAAGAGTAACGGATGCTTCGGGTAAGAAAAATTAATGTACCATATAGATTAGGTTCGGTTTAATTTGATTTGATTTTTTTTTGTCGACTTCCTAATTTGATTTGATTTAGTTTGAGAAAATCTTAGTTTTAGTTTTTGGGTGAAAGTAATTATTTATATATATATATATATATATATATATATATATAAAAATGTTTTAAGCTGAGTAATTATATTGAAACCGTTATATGTAATTTTCTAATTGTTATTATAAAGTTTGGGTTTGACAAAATTTTAGTTTGTTTTTTTTATATGAGTGGTAGAACTAGTTATCAATATATAAAAACTAAAATGGTTTCTCTCAACTTTGGTTTAAGCATATAATATGGCTAAATGTAATGAATATTAATTTTAATGTATATAACCAAAATATGATATGATTGGATCTGAATTGGCTTGGTTAAACTAATAGATCTCATATCCGTTGGATTAGGTTTTTAAACCATTGAAACCGATCGGGTTATAAGAACAAAACTTGTGGTTTGAGAATTGGTTTATTAGCTGTTTGTATATACATCTATCATTCCTTTATTTTGGTTCTCGTGAACCGGTACTGAAGTGTTACATTTTTTTGAAATCAGTGGTGAGCAACTAAACACGACCAAGTTCGAGCAATGGCAAAATTTGGGAAAGGCACCAGCGGTTCCAAACATGGTGAAGCTGTTCCACGAGATCAGAGAGAGAGGCTTCAAAATCTTTTTGGTCTCTTCTCGTAAAGAGTATCTCAGATCCGCCACCGTCGAAAACCTTATTGAAGTCGGTTACCACGGTTGGTCTAACCTTCTTCTCAGGTATATATTCCTCGGTTCAAGTCTCTTTTGATTGTTATAATTTGAATAGGTATATAAAATTATAAATAGTTCATAATCATGTAAAACAAAATTTTCATTTCTAAAACTAAAACCAATTCAGGATATGCTTTTGTTTTTATGTTGAGTTCATGTATTCACTCACCTTAACATCACTAAACCTTGACTTATGACACAGTAACAGTACTTGTTCAAACCACTATGTTACATGTTAAGGTCCATATAAATCTGTGATAAGCTGTCAACATAATTAGAGCTTTATGGTATAATATTGTGACACGGGAATAATAAAACTATAACACCAAAAAATTGCAGGGGAGAAGCGGAAGAGAAGAAGAGTGTGAGCCAATACAAAGCAGACGTGAGGACATGGCTTACAAGTCTTGGATACAGAGTTTGGGGAGTGATGGGTTCACAATGGAACTGTTTCGCAGGTTGTCCAGTTCCCAGAAGAACCTTCAAGCTCCCTAACTCCATCTACTACATCGCTTGATCATTATCATATTTACTACTCTTAACAAAAAAAAATAAGATCAGAGTTTCAATCTGATTCTTGAGTCTTCTGATTATTTCCCTTATTATTCCATTTCTGGTTTATAAACCAACTCAAAAATGCTTATGAATGATATTGGATCATCTTGTTTTTTTTTATCTTTGTATTACCACTTTGGGCCTTTGAATTGATTTTGGGCTCTTTTGAAAGATTAATCTCATCTCTCTGGCTGATTGGATCTGGTGAAGTTCGGATATATATAAGATCACAGTATACATTCAACAAGACTTGAGTAGATAAACATAATAACTTGAAAGCTACTCTAAGTAATACAAATTGTAAAGAATTAAAAAGGAGCAACAAACAGCAGAAGAAGTTGGAAGCTCTCAAGCAAATAAATGTATAAAATAAACTCTTGACTAACTGAGCTGTCCCCTTCTTCCACCAAATCTTTTTTTTTTTTTTGCTGTCTCTTGAAGCTATCTTATGACACAAACCTCAGACCCAACCTCACCACACAGTTTGGTACAACCTTTAGTTTCCTCTTAACATTTTCCCCTTATATTACCTCCTAAATCCCCTTAGATTTCTTCAGTTATCAAAACACATAGTCGCATACATTTTTCTATCACTCGTTTTGCTCTACTTCGGAGCTTAGCTTGCCTCGCCATGGACCCAAACACCATGGCCAGCTTCGACGATGAGGTAAAAAAAGAAAACAAGAACAACAAATATCGAAACTTGTTTCCTACGTTTTGTTCTTTACCAAATTATATCATTAGGGTTTCGCATAAAAATCTTACATTTTGTGAACGCAGCATCGTCATTCCTCCTTCTCGGCTAAGATCTGTAGAATCTGTAGCGACGAGGTCAAAGAAGCCGAGAATGGCCAGACATTCGTGGCGTGCCACGTATGCGCATTCCCTGTTTGCAAACCATGCTATGATTATGAGCGTAGCAGCGGTAACAAATGTTGCCCTCAATGCAACACTCCCTACAAACGCCACAAAGGTAAGAACAAGATTTAACCTCTGTTTTTTTGTATTAACAAATCCATACCTAACTTGATAAACTCTTTTTAGATGATGATGAAGAAAACAATAATGGTCCGGTTGATTCAGATGATGAGTTGAATATCAAAAATCGCAAGGATGCTTCCTCCATTCACCAGAACTTTGCCTATGGATCGGTAATCTTAATAAGTTTTTGATCGATGTGTTCTTGTCTTTGGAACAAGATTTAAGAGTATATTTTCCTCGCTTTTTTCAGGAAAATGGAGACTACAATAGTAAGCAGCCATGGCGTCAAAATGGCCGGGCCTTTTCTTCCACCGGAAGTGGTATGTTTACTTATACATAATGTGGTTTTATATAAATGTATAAGAGCAAACTCTGAGACTTGATTTTTTGAAGTGTTGGGGAAAGAGTTTGAAGTTGAGAGAGATGGAGCCACAGACGCTGAGTGGAAAGACCGAGTTGATAAATGGAAAGCGAGGCAAGAGAAGAGAGGTTTATTAGTTAAAGCAGAACAAACAAAAGATCAAGACAGCCAATCTGATGAAGAAGAATACCTGTAATAAGAAAAAGAAAAACACAATCTTTCTTTTTAACCTAAAAATAATAAAAGACTTGCAGAACAAGTAACTAAGTTCTTGTTTGTTTTAACAGAGATGCTGATGCAAGACAACCTCTCTGGAGAAAAATCCCAATCTCATCGAGCAAAATAAGTCCTTACAGGATCGTGATCGTTCTCCGTCTCATCATCTTAGTCTTCTTCTTCCGTTTCCGTATCTTGACACCAGCCAAAGACGCCTACCCTCTCTGGCTGATCTCAGTCATCTGCGAGATCTGGTTCGCGCTCTCTTGGATTCTTGATCAGTTCCCTAAATGGTGCCCTATCAACCGTGAAACCTACCTTGACCGTCTCTCCATGAGATTCGAAAGGGATGGTGAAAAAAACAAACTCGCACCGGTTGATGTGTTTGTCAGTACTGTGGATCCTCTTAAGGAGCCTCCTATAATCACAGCCAACACTATTCTCTCCATCTTAGCGGTTGATTATCCGGTGAGTAAGGTTAGCTGCTATGTGTCTGATGACGGTGCTTCAATGCTCTTGTTCGATACATTGTCTGAAACTTCGGAGTTTGCGAGAAGATGGGTTCCGTTTTGCAAGAAGTATAATGTGGAGCCAAGAGCTCCAGAGTTTTACTTCTCTGAGAAGATTGATTACTTGAAGGATAAAGTCCAAACTACATTCGTCAAAGATCGCAGAGCTATGAAGGTCAGTGAAAAATACACAAGAAAAAGATCTTTTACTTGCTAATCACGCAAAGGATCTTTATTCATTGTTCTTAATTTGTTTTGTAGAGAGAGTATGAGGAATTCAAAGTGAGGATCAATTCTTTAGTGGCTAAAGCTCAGAAGAAACCTGAAGAAGGTTGGGTGATGCAAGATGGTACACCATGGCCTGGAAACAACACTCGTGATCATCCAGGGATGATTCAGGTGTATCTAGGAAAGGAAGGAGCTTATGACATTGACGGTAACGAATTGCCACGCCTAGTGTATGTGTCGAGAGAGAAGCGTCCTGGCTACGCACATCACAAGAAAGCTGGAGCCATGAATGCAATGGTAAGCAAACATGTAAAGGCTATCAAAACAAGAAACTACTTATTTTTTTTGCTGATAATGTTTTTTTTTGGATTTGTGCCAGGTTCGAGTCTCTGCAGTGCTAACAAATGCACCTTTTATGCTGAATTTGGATTGTGATCATTACATTAAC